ATTGAAATAGCCAATAGGAATCTAGCAATACATTCCTATGGTGATTTTTTTTTTGTTTTTAAATCTGATGACAGCCAACGGCTCCATGTCAGAATAAAAAAAAAAAAAAAGCAGTGTTTCTCTCCTGGGCGGCCGGGAGCGAGAGACTCCCGGAGCGCCCGGGAGAGTTAGGCTGTCTGGAGATCAGTGTCCCTGGTTAGCTGGTAACCAGGGACGCTGATCTCTCTGCAAGTGGCCGGAGCCAGCCGTAAGATCAGGGCTGGCTCCGCCCAGCTGTCAGAAGCAATGGCCGGCCGCTCGGCCAGCTTCGGCTTTCACCTCGGCTCAGTCGAACCGCAGCATATGCCTTTGGCTCGACTGAGCCGCTCGGCCGACTTCAGGAGCTGTACGGGCTATAGTGAATAGCCCGTACAGCAGCCCTTAGGTTCTACTGAACCGAAGGGGTCCTGGGGCCGAAGCTAGCTGAAGGATGAGCCGAAGCTTCGGCTAGATCATTCGGCTGCTTCGTGAATAGACCCCTAATAGACTCTGTTGAAAGCCTTTACCATTAACAGCTAAAGCACAGCACTCACCAACAACGTGGATAAAAGGAATTTTGTGCTGACACATTGTGGTCGATTTACTATTAATTTTGATTTACTATTATCATTACAGGGGTGGAGGCTGATCACATAGCAACATGGATGTTTAATCTGAAAAGTGAATGTGCAATTTACTTATTAAATAAGCTTAAGAAGAACTCTGGGCAAATATAATCTTAACCCTTGCAGTAGGACTACTGCACTGCAAGGGTTAAGTGCTTGTTTTGCCTAGGGAGCTAAAATAGCATCCTCATGTCCTATATACTGTATAGAACATGATGACTCACTGGATCTTAGACCACTGAAGTGGAGGAGGAGAAAGGCTGAAGGGCCAGTCTAGCAGCCAGCCTAGATTGTGGTTTGGGTGAGTATAACTGTTATTTTAAACTCCATAGGCAAAATGAGCACTTAACCCTTGCAGTGCAGGGGTAGTCCTACTGCAATGGTTAAGAATATATTTGCCCAGAGTTCTTCTGTAAGTTTTGTTCCTGCTGAATGAGCCGAAATTCAAGTTGTGGGAGGCCCTGTCTGCACCACCCACCTCAAAAAATGTTGATTTTAAAATCAAAGGAGCCAGATGGAAAAATGTCAGCCTACTGCATCCTATCAGATGCAGTCACTGTCCATGCATTCAGGCAGCAACAGGTGGCAGTGTCTAAATACAATAGCCGGCAGTGAAGATTCCCCATCCCCACTGCTGAACGTGGATGGGGAATCAAGTGAATTCTTGGGCTGAACAAGAGAAATCTACATGTGCCTGGCTAGCCTTAGGCTTTGATTTAAATGTAATCAATAATTGTATCTAACTCTTATTTTAAATGCTGTAAGAAATTATCAGTAGTGTCAGAAAAATTATTATAATTTACTCTATAATCTCATCATTAATATTTCACAAATGTATACAGTATCTGATGAGTAAAGCAGGTTCTTAGATGAGAAGAATTCCACTTACTTTTCTATAACATTCATGCTGATGTTTGATCAGCTTAACTTCAGCCGTGATAGAAATACCAGATGTCAGGGATTATTGGGGAGTTTACTGGAATAAAAAGCACTCAGCACCTCAGAACGTTTCGCAATGTGAAAATCACAGGGTGGTAGCATGGGATAGTGGTGGCTTGCCTTTTCTTTAGTCAAACTCCCACATGTAGTAAGATAGTCATAGTTTCTTTTTCTATGAATAATTTAAATTCTTTTGCCCACATTAAATTCTGAATGACTTACTGTACAGTATATTAATGTTTGTTTTATTTGCGGGATTTGCAGAAAAATGATAGAGGACAGTTACACTTTGTTTTAATCTGTGTCCTGCCTGCACTTTTCGGCAGTCCTTTGTAAGTAACAGTGGGATACTTCCCTGCTTTTATTCATATTTAAAAGATGGTGGCGGAGATTCATTGGGCCTTACTTACTAAAGAGTATGCACATATGCTGTCGTATTGATGCATCCATAAACCAGGATGAACAACCTAATTGTATTGTTATTGTATTTATTAAAGTGGATGTGAAGCTATTTTACAAAAAAAAATGGGCCCCCAGGAGCCATAGTACTCACAGCATATTAGCACATTATGGCTGACTTAGCTGACAAACTGATCCCACTCCCCAGTCTTCTTCAAGGTTTTGAGTGTTTGCCCACTTGATTGGCCGGGTCCTGGTGACGTATCTCCCACGCATATGCACTGGAGTTACTGCCTCAAGGCAGAGTTGGTCTGTGCGCTGAGCTGCGCATGTGCATGTGTAAGTGTCTGTTAGATTCTCACTTGTGGCACAATGATTAAAGTGTATTGTGTTGGTAAAAGAACAATGAGATATGTCTGCCATGTATACAGCGACTAGGCTCTCTGGTACAGGATATAGCAACTTTCTCAAAGTTGTTTTCTGCAGAAGTACATTGCATGAAAGGATAGGGGTAGGATGTTGTCTAATCTCCATACCCAGAAAGTGGGAATGATCAGTTGGGTGACCCCGAATTTGATTTTGAAAATCTGTTCACCTTCTTGCAAATAAGATGGACTCTTTGTGTTTTCACTAGTTTTGGCACCAGATTACATCACTATCAAGTCCTCTGAACTCAGCTGAGCAGTACTAATGAACAGGCACATCGGCATTGGTGCCTACAGCATATTCTACTGTCTGTATTAATTTTATTAGTGTGCTGACCAAGACAAAGAAGCCTTTACTTTTTGAAGTCCTCCTGTGTGCTTTGTCTGCATGAGTTGTCAAATAGTGTTCTTTGGGAGTTCACTGTTTCTTTTTTTTTTTAAAGTTACTAGTCACTTACTAGACTACTCTCCATGCCGTCACTGAAAACTCTCAAATAAAAAATAAGCACAGATTTATGGCTGGAATCGTTGAACCAATAATATAGGTTAGAAATGCTTATTGGAGTATAATGGCTTCATTAAGACAAACATCACGAGGGTCAATAAAAACAATAAGCTATTTTTATTATTTCTAAAGGTCTATTGTTCAAAACAACATCCCATAAAAAAAGAAAAAAAAAAGAACGTAAAACCAACTTAGCAATGTGCAAGTCACATAATTTTGGTTCATTACCTTAAAACATATATATACATATTTACCAGATGAACTTTCTCAAATATATTGCATTTTTGCACGCATTTACATTTGACAGCAAATAGGTAGTGGGGTTATTTGCATTTTTCAACAATAAAGACCATTTTCCTGAGAATCTTTGTTCTTCAAAGTAAAATTAAAATGAGAGAAAGAGAAAACACAAAAATGCTAGCTTCATTCTTCTAAAGGGGTTGCCTGTCACAAACGGGGAACATTATAAAGATGCCAGTTTAACATTATTAAATAATTAAAAGTACCATTAACTTACATTGTATACATTTGATACAAAAAGTTGTTAAATCCTGTGTAATTGATTTAACACTGATTGCTGCAATGGAAATTGCACTTCTTTTCACAAAAAAATATTGTATTATGGAAAAAATACAATTTGCTACCCTGTATGTAAAAAGAGATGGCTTAAACCAATCACATTTTTACTTCATAAAGAAACACAAAAACCCTCCACCTGAACATTGTTTCAGAATCACTTTACATTGTCATGGGTGCATTGAATGGACTCAGCAAAGCCAGGTTTTGATTGTACCATGAAGAGATATCTGTACACCAGCATGGGACTGTTAATGATCAAATATAGCTCCAGGTGAAAATACCGTTTAGTACATATTTGGTCACCACTTTACTGAAATTCTATACTAATGGTGTGAAATATGTGAATAGAGTGGGGAAAAGTTTAATCCTGTCAGGGATTTATTGCTGTCTATTTCACTGGGGAGATTTCCTTTTACTTCCTGTTGTGTCAATGAGATAGGAAGTAAGAAGAATCACTCCACTGAGGACTGCAATAAAACACTTTTATTAGTAAAGAAGGATAGAACCTCTATCAGTTTTTTGTTGATATAAGCACAGGCAACAAAAAAAACTTAAAAACCATGATCTGTACAAAAATAAAAATCAAGTTTGGCTGGAGTTCTATTTTAAAGGGGAAAAAAACACTCTTTACCTTGTTGGGATAATCTGAATCAACAGAGTGAAATGATGGTAAAATTATATTATCTTTGCATTTCTTTACAACCTTCTAGACCTTTCTGACAAGTATGTAAAGTTTAAGTAGACTTTTAAACAAAGTGCACTTATCCTTTATGTTCCCTCCTGACCTAAAGTACCCCACTTTCCCCTCCAAAATGCAGATGGCCATGCCTGCACCGTAGGGTTCCATAGACATGGATAGAAACATTCCAGGGGGCCACAGCCTGTGGCAAGTATGCATCTAATGGAGTATGATGGGGTCCTTACGCCAAGACATTAAGGTGCGCTTATCTTTTAAAGACTGGGTATAATCTTTATACCAAATAATTGTTTGCTTTCTATATGATTTAGAAAACATCATGACTGATAATAGCATGGTTGTTGAATGGTAGTTATTAATATGGTGAATTGGACGAATCAGATATGAATCACCATAACAAGCTGCACTGACCACTTATACAGAGTGCTCTATGTGGGAACAAACTGTATATTAATGTTAGTTTGCTAGTGTATGCTGGCCACATGTCATTTGTTTTGTTGGATTACATGGACCAGTGATTTTCAGGATGTGACATACAACAGAAATATTAAATAAAAGGTACTTCCTTGTTTTTGTGTAATGCATATAATAGATAATCCACCTAGTAGTGTGTTGTGTGTAAAACCGAACTGGCTAACACCATAAGGTCATGGTAGTGCTGAATTTAGTCTGTTAACTGCTATAGCTCATGTTGATCTTTTTGTAAAGGAATCATAATGGTGCTTTAATTGTTCATCTGTTTTTAAAGGTGAGCTTCTGCAAGGTTTCCGTGGCTCTTGGTATATGCTTCCATCAATATTGCATTCGCCAGCAGAAGCTTATATTGAAACCGCTGTAAGTATTCTGATTGGTGTAGTGACAGGAGTGATTGTAAACCTTTGCTGAGAATATCACAGGAACTGAAACACTGGATCCAACCAAACATGGTAGATAAGGCAGCAGGAAAAAAAATCTGCCATTTTGAAACCTTAAAAATAAAACTGGGTCAAGTTTCTTCTCAAAAGGCAGCATTTCTCAATGCGTGCTGGAGTATACAGGCTTAAATCTAACACAGTCATTGTATTCATCCATGTCTGAACGTTCGGTCAATGATGGTTTATATAGAAAGTAATTAAGGAAGGTGTGTATCTCAGACTCAAGCCTCTTGCATAGATGAAGAGCATAGTATTACATTCCCCATAAAGCTCCACTTGAACTGAAACACTAACAATGAAAAAGTGAACGAAATGTTCTTTATGGGAATGAAGGACATGCTTATTGAGGGTCCAGAGTCCATCAACTTGCTATAAAAAGCACTCATGAATGAGGGGGTTGCCAAGACCATTCTGGTGGTAAAAGTCAAGCTGAGGCCAATGCACACCATGTATCTTGTCTGACTGATCCCCCAACTTCAGGCGAGGATCCCAAGATAACTGCTGAATACAGGCCATCTTGCCCTGTGTACTTTAATGTGTTGTTATCTGGACTGGTGCTTCCACTTTGCTGTGAAGACATCATGGATGACCCCACCTTTAAAAAAATGCAAGAAAATGTATGTTACTCTTTAGCTACAACAGAATTCTCTACGCACATCTGATCATACCACAGTACCACAATATCATATTTGTTTATATAAATAAAGGGTTCCAGAGTTTAACTGTACAACTAAAACTAATGCAACTTTTTAAGGGACATTTAGAGGTCAGCCAAACATTTCAAACATGACCAACTGTTTTTCCTTCTATTCTGGATGCCTCTAGGCTGCTGTAATATTTGCCTTAAACAAATTATACAAATGTTTATGTTGCAAGTATATTTTAAAGATATAAAAAAGGAGAATAGTGGGTTTGACATGTCCCCACTTAAAAATACACCCCATAAAGTGTATGTACAGAGTAGGCTAACCCCCTTTCCAACAGATGGGAATTTCACAAAAGCCATATAGTGCAGTTCTGTATAGTAAAGTATTGCTATAGAGATTAATCAGTAACTACACAATAAGTTTATTTGTCAGTGTTTTTTTCTGCATATAAAAAAACTTGCTAAGAATATCGTTGCTTTCCTATATATTCCCTCACCAATAGTTCAAACACAAAAACAAGTTCACAATCTGTTTTCAGGTGTCAGTTTAGTATTTTTAAATGTTTGCTGCTAGGCAACATGGGTAAACTTTTTGAATCTATATCACCACTCTCTAAACAGAGTATTTCATAAACATGTAAGATTATAAACATAATTCATAGTAATAAAATGTTTTACATGTGTTTCTGAAGGTTGCACAACAGATCAGTAAAAAAAAAAAAATCCAGCAGTAACTGGAAGTAAGCTATTATTGCAACTCATAAAACAAAATCCTGGTTCATGCCTGCAGATCAACTGTATGTGATGTAAAATATTTGGAATCATTAAAACTATTGCAAGCCATTGTAGCAGCACCTTTGTACCTTCCTTATCCACCATGTTGAGAAATGATCTAGCACACCGTTGGTCATTGCCAATAATTTATTTATAAGGAGAGAGGAGATATGAATATAAAAGAATCTATTGGGATTGGGACGTGACCTTTTTATCTACTGTTATTATTTATGCTGCACTGAAAAAACCTAGTCATTACTTTTCTCAACAATATCTAATACTTTGTGCAAAGGCTTCCAAATTCAAGCTGCAAGATAGATATGTGTTTTGCCTCTCCAAGGAATTCACACAGCCAGACATATCAGGCACACTCCGCTAGGAATTCCACACAGCTAGACTTAAGTTGTCACTGTAAATTATGGCATCAGGGTTTGCAAGAAGGATCTAATAACTATGGAATTGCAGTAAAGGGCCAATATTATTGAGTTCCATTATTTCCATTTAGTGGTTTTGATTAATTACCCTTACTCCGCCCTTCTTAAAGTGAACCCGTCATGCATTTCTTTTAATATAACATTAATCATTTTTTTTTAAAAGGTGTTTTATGCTAGCAGGGTGAACCAGAGCTTGTTTCACAGGGGACATTTAAATAAAAGGACAGTAATGAAATTTTCTTTGAGTTCGTCAGGAAAAAGGGGCCCACCAATAAATGTATTAATAATCGAAACTGAGGCCACATGTTCTACAATTGTTCATATCTCAGCCTAATGTTATAAAACCAGGGATGTTTTGCAGTGAAACGTTAAGATAATTGCATCTGATTGATCCAAACACAAACTAACTTGACCATAGTAAAAATAATTCAGGTATGTTTTTAATACCTTTTAAAGGAGAATTGTGGGGAGAGTGAAATACACCAATTCCCATAATTAGAGCTGACATGTGATACTGCAGCTGTCACACATCGGCTCTATTGATCAAGAACTGAGTGATCACATGCAATAATCGATCAGTTCACAATCTTCTCCCTGCAGAGAGCGGTGACTATCATCCCCAATACCCGCTGGGATTCCCCCCGCTCTCTCCATTTCTCCAGCGCTGACTGGACAGATGGGGAGGGATCAGGCACAGCTTGCTCTGCCTCTGGAGAGGCAGAGCCAGCTGTCAATCAGGTGGCTGGATGGATACCAACTATATTGTTAGGATCTTTCCCTGCCACCCACTATATGCTTTGTTTTTGGTCAAAGGTGGACATAGTAAATGTACTCCTGTGACCCTAATGAGAACTATGACCAAAAAAGGTTGGGCCATAGTTCTCTTTTAAATACCAGTACCAGTCTTAAGAAAATGTTGGTGGCAATCTAAATCATTAAAGTATTGACAGACTGAGCAGCCATTCTGTTCAAAGGGGTATAAGGGCCAGTATACTGACAATTGATACTTAGATCATGCTATAAAATTTATTTTTATTACTGAAAGAACATGAATTCCCCTGACAAACACATGTAAGATACTAATTTTGCTTAGCGTTCACAAATAAATTATTATACACAGTAATATTGTTATTTATTAGTTGCTTGTTCAGAGGACTGTTTGAACCTTGTGGAGATAATTATTTTCATCTTTAGAGATAATTATTTTTTAATTCCCCTGCACACCACTAAGTGAGTGATTTGAACTTAGGTTTAATGGGTCAAAAGTAAATGCTACTCTTTTAGCACAATTTCTATCTAATAAACAGTAAATATTAATAAATATAATGGACCTTGAAGATTTAGGTTGGACTTGGCAGATTCAATTGTTAATAAATGACTTTGCTCCAGAAAATCATGCAAACATATATGAAGTCATAGTTAATGTATTGTGTTAAACCTCTACATATTAACTTGAAAATCCATATTGCAGGCTCTGGTACACAGCTAAGCATCCCTGTGTGTGAAGATTTGGGCGTGTAGGTAAAATATCTGTGGAATGAAGATGAAAGTGCTGACACCATTTTTTAGTCAATGGATTTATGCCAGAATCTCACAGTGCTGGGAACTGTTTTGCAATAAATCCATTTAGTGCCCTAAACAGTAAATTCTTTTAGCATTCCTTCATTTTGACTAAGCAATGCTGTACAGATTGCTGTAATCCAGCAGTTCTCTACATACGTGGTTATCCTGGGAGCATATGTAATGATACAGATGTGAGCAGAAGTTAAACAACTTCAATTTGTGTCCCTGAAGTTGCATCATTAAAAATGCAGTTATACCTGTATCCTCTACTTGTACTATTGGAAGTCTCCTTGGGGGTTGATATAAGAAAGAAAGTAAGTTTTATAAGGGAAATGTAAAGGTCTAATTAGGTTAAGAGGAAATTAAATAAGCTAGAAAATAGCCATGTTCTCTGGACTAGAGCAAAACCCACTCCTTTATCTGGTGATGTGCTCAATGTTTTAATTGGCATTTTTAACTTTAGTATAACTAAATAATAATTTTTTTTTTGGGGGGGGGGGGGGGGGTAAATAAAGTAGTTAAGGGTAAAAAAAACCCTGTTAGATTTTTCTATTCCCTTCCTGTCCTATAGACATGAAACAGGAAATAAGAGGAAATCTCTCCATAGCAGGGGAAATCCCCTCTTACACAGCCACTGGAACCTTTTTATTTGCAATTTGGAGGCTGCATGGCAAGGGAACTATACATTTAATACAGTAGGGTAAAAAGTAGATTAGTCCCTTAATTAACCAATATAGCAAATAGAGAGTTAGAATTCATTCACACTATGCGATTTGATGATTTTATATGCATCTAAAAACCTTTTATAAGCGCATATATATCTATCTAATGAATTGCAATGGATCTATTCATATCTTGCATCTACATGCATTTATCTGCAGTCAGTTTATTTGTTTTTCAAAAAATAGAAGTCAGGTGCATCTAGGAATTTGAACGATTTCTCTGCATCTAGACTGACTGAGGGGACACATGTTTAGGGGACAAGTGTCTAAGAGGAAATTCCCCTCACTGTACGGGATTTCCTCTAAGTTCCTGTGGCATCTCAGGGACAGCAAGTGAAGGAAAGTTTTGCCAAGTTAACCCTTCCTTACTCTATCCAAAAATAAAAAAATAAACATTTGGTCTATACATACACTTTAAAGTTCAGATTAACACTTATCATTTCATTAGGCAGAAAATAATAATTAATTATCTGTTAACAGCTCACCATTCTTTGCAAAACCATCATTATATTGATAGCAGACTGTTGAGAAAAAAAAGCCAGCATGCAAATATATAGTTCCTGTCTGAGTATGCATATTTTACATGTGTTCAGGTAGGATGAAATTCTTGCAAACATACTATCAAGTACTGAAAGCTAAATGTTTGTTGAGATAACTTCCCCTAGATAAGATAGAGAGAGAGATAAGACAGCTTATTGTATTCTTAAGCTATCAGTGTGACATTTACCCCAGAAGCAGTGCTCTGATTGTTAGGAGAACCGTTCTTTATACAATCATCAGAGTTTGTTGGTGACGTTGTGGACGTTGGAGTCATAGGGATTTGGTGGCTACCGGTACCTAAAAATTCAAATTGTTCAAATACAACGGTTTAGTAACACTGAACACATAAAGTTCATTCAGAGAGTTGACATATTTGTGTACATTGTAGGCCCATTTGAAAGCAGGATGAGCAGGAACATTGCTACTGTTTTGAAAAGTACCAGGCATCACATATATTGGACTAAGGTTTTGGCTCACTCCATCTTTTCTACCACTTTAATCTTCCTGTCTTTGTATTTTGCAATTACACACATTTTTGCTCTCTCCTTTCTTCTCATGTTCATGAAATGCCTTCCACTTTTCCTTTCTGGGAGGACAGCACAGAACTATGTCAAATCTTTCAAGAGACCATCCCCATGTGTACTGTTTGGCCTCTAGTGTCAGAGAAGTAGCTTCTAAAACATTTCCTCCCTGGAACTAGATGCTGAACTGCACACAGGGTGATAGTCTTTCCTATGAAATCACATCTGTCCTGCACTACCCTAAACACTATACAGTAATACTTTAACACTCCGTGGGGCATGGTCAAAGGCAAGAGACCCAGAACCCATGGGGATAGGGGAAACTTGGAACAGGGACCCTGTAATGGAAATAGTTAAAGCTGCTTAGTAATGAGCTCTGATTCTGACAGAACCAGATCTGAACCTGAGCTCCTCCAACATGGGGCCACCCGCCCCGATCAGCTTCAGACCGGGGCATTCCCCGCCCTGCAACTACACATAAACAAAAGGACGGGATGCTTGTGCTGACATCAATGACCTTAAATGGCCACATGGCTATATTAGGTCAATGTCATTGACAAAATATAGTCATGTGGCCATAGAAGGTCAATAATGTCACAGCATCCCACCCCTTTTGCTTGCTGGCAACAGCTGATTAGGCGACATTGTACTGGGACTTTGCAGGGGAAGTTCCCCCTTACCTTCGTGAATGTGGTGAAATTTCACTTTGCAAAGACTACCCAAATCATGTCCAAGGAAACGAAAACATTTCTTTTTTCTTGTACATGATTGGGTGATGGAATTCAGCAGAGCTTCACCTCATTCACTACGTTTACAAGCCTTGTTTCTATGTATAGTTTGTACATATTGATGCACATCTTGTGAACAATGAGCAGGAAATGCTAATCACATTCCCTTATATACAAATGACCACTAGAGAAAGCATTTGCAAAACTGAATATATGAAATTCAATATTTAACATGTGATACAGCAAGCAAGCAAAAATTATAAGTTCTTATCTAAAGTGACTCTTAGGAAAGCATTACTCTTGTAACTCACACTATATACTTACATTTCAAAATACAGTGTACTATAGAATCCTTTTAAAAAGGTCCGAAATCCACCGTACAAACATAAAAGTGACTTACCTAAGGTAAATTACCTTTTCTGTTTCTTATATTGTAAGGTTATGTTTCAGATACAGCACTAGATCATTATAGGGATCAATCAAACATGCACAAAATGATACAAATAGTTCTACCAGTTTAATGTATATAGTAACATATATAGAAATGATTTACCATTACTAGAGGATCCTTTTGACTTGTTTAAATTCTTTGGCTTTCTTTTTCTAGTTTGGATACCGTCTTTCTTCATAGCCAGTGGCCGTGGTACCTGCAATGGCAAAATAACAATTGTTATATTATTATAGTGAACATGACTCTTTTTGCATCATACAGTCATATAAATTGTTTCATTTTACGCTGCTGCTTCAACAAGATTTTTTTAAATTAAATTAAGCATACATTAAGAATATGAGATATGTTTATAATAAACATGCTTAAGAGAGGAAGAGTCTTTCTGAGCAGGGAAATATAAGGTCCCATTTACTAGTAAGCGCTTTTCCTGTGCTTCTTCAGGGTGCAGAAACAGAGGTACAAGTCTCAACAGGCATTGCCACCTTGCAGCATGCTTAAAAGTTGCTCAAAGCTACAGGATTGTGTTTCTGTAAGTCTAAAGGATGTGTTTCATAGTGATGGGCCAAACACCCCTGTGTTCAGTTTGAATTCGAACTTTAGAACATGGAAAAAGTTTGAATTCGAACGCAATCTCAATGCAAGTCTATGGGGTTAGAACTGTAGACATGTATCAATTAAAAAAATACTTTAAAAAAAAATACAGTTTTTAAAGGAGCAGTCATTTTAATATCACTTAAAGGGAAACAATAAAAATGAAAAATTCCTTTAAATATCATGCCTGGGGGCTCCCCTTAAACTACCTGTGGCAAATCTGTATGATGTATAGAAGCTAAATGTCATTTTCGCTGCAGCAGGTTCTATACATTGTACAAGTGTTTGTTTCATTGATACATGTCCCCCAGGGCAGTACCGAAATCCCATACCCTTTTTATGGCCAATAACTTGCATATAGGCCTTCAAAATGGGGACAATTGATTATTAAAGGAGAACTATGGGGTTAAGACTTTTCCCTATAGTTCTCCTCAGGGTAACGGGAGGACACAAACCAGCGTCCTCCTGTCACCCTAGGCTCAGTATACCGCGAGCTGCTGCTCGCGGTATACTGAGACGCCGCAGCTGAAGTGGATCCCGACAATAGTGCCGGGATCCGCCCAGCTGCGTGAGTGACAGCTGGCTCTGCCTATCTAGAGGCAGAGCCAGCTGTACCCGCCCCCTCCCCCGTCTGTTCCGCCAGTCAGCGCTGGCGGATCGGAGCGGGGAGGGGGGAATCCAGCCCCTCCCCTGTCTTTTTTTAATTATTTCTATTTAATATTTTCTTGTTTTATTTTTTATTTCATCGAGTCATCGTGGACAACGCTGGACGTCATGCTTGACCCTGAATTACTTTGGTGGATCCATTATTTGGGTGGGGTTAACTTTAAGCATAGAGTGGGGGAGGATTTGAACTACTGTTGGGTTTCTATTGTTGCTTGTGTCCTTGTGTAAAGATGTTTCCTCTCTTTGTATCCCAGTGACACTCTGTCAAACTATAGCACACAGAATGTCACTAAATGCTTAACATTTTGCTCAGCGATGCCTCGAAATTTTTTGATGGTAGGACTCTCATGTGACAGGGGAACTCTGATGTAAAATGTAGGGGGGCTCTGATGGCAAAGGAGGGAACTCTGATGTGAAAGAAGGAGACTCTGATGTGAAAGATGCGAACTCCGATGTGAAAGAAGGGGACTCTGATGTGAAAGAAGGAGACTCTGATGTGAAAGAAGAGGACTCTGATGTGAAAGAAGAGGACTCTGATGTGAAAGAAGAGGACTCTGATGTTAAAGAAGGGGACTCTGATGTGAAAGAAGAGGACTCTGATGTGAAAGAAGGGGACTCTGATGTGAAAGAAGAGGACTCTAATGTGAAAGGAGGGGACTTTAATGTTAAAGAACTCTGACGTGAAAGAAGGGGACTCTGGTGTGAAGGAAGGGGACTCTAATGTGAAAGAATGGGACTCTGATGTGAAAGAAGGGGACTTTGATGTTAAAGAAGGAGACTCTGATGTGAAATAAGAGGACTCTGATGTGAAAGAAGGAGACTCTGATGTGAAAGAATGTGAAAAAAGTGGACTCTGATGTGGAAGAAGGGGACTCTGATGTGAAAGAGGGGAACTCTAATGTGAAAGAAGAGGTCTCTGATGTTAAGGGGAGCTCTTGATTTAAAGGGGGATTCTGCTGTGAAAAGGAGGCTCCTGATTTGAAGGGGAGACTTTGAAGTGGAGTTATTGTTTGTGTTTTTGTGTGGGGTCCACCTTAGAATCCATAAAATTGCAGACTGGGGTACATCAAGACTTTGCAAACTTTTAAAGGGTTTGAGAAACTCTGGGTTAGAGCATACTTTTAAGTGGTACTATAGGGTTAGGCCGAATCATGCATCTGTGGTCTGTAATATTTCCCAGCCAGAGAACAAGGGTCATGATGGTGGCATAAGGTGTGTGTTTTTAGAGGTACTATAGCCCTTTAATACAAGAGTGAAATTGTGAACTTTGGAGATTTTACAACCAGGGTCTCTAAAAGACATAAAGCACCAGTGGGTGATTCAAGATGCTTACATCTGTTAAAAGCAGCTGGTTGCATTGGGAAGAACTTTCTCTTTTTAACCTCAACAAACTAAGCAGGGATGTGACTGTTATGAGATTGCAATAATAATACTTACCCCGTGTAGTTTCATGTACAGGCCACAGGCATTGCATACTGGCTCTCCCTCTGTATTCCTGCGCCATAACGTTGTTGTGGTAGTATGACAGTTGGCACAAGCCAAGCCAATTCTTCTAGAAGATGGCTATATAAAATAAAAGGAAATACAACTGATTATTCTAGCATAAGAGATTGAAAAAGTCATAAAACAGATGTTTTTCGCTGCGCACTGTACTATTTCACAAGAACTAAAGGAGACCGACGTAGACTAAGGGACAGTATTGCATAAAGTAATAGTAAAAGAGTGCTTCGCAGTTATCTGCTAATCCAAAGTCATTCTTAATAGTTATCTCTCTTTCCAGTAAACAATAAAAGCTTTTAGTAATATAAAATGTATCAACTCATCAACCTATTACTTGTTTGCAGCTATTAAGGTCATGTATTGGTTGATTATGGGGTATACGTTCTACAGCAATCCTTTCTTTCTTTGTTTACTGGTTTAAGTTTTTTCAGTTTTTCTGAAATCTCTTAGCTCTATGATATAAAACCATTTCACTGGGTTGGTATAACAATTCCCAATAATAATGAATCACCTATAGGCCACATGCACACAGCCTTAAAAAGCAATTCACAGTGTTTTCTTGTTTATGATTCAGAATGCAGGTGTATTGTTTTCAATGGAGACATGAACGCAGGTGCGCAACCAGGTGCTGCATTCAGATCCGTTGCAATAAAATAACAAAACTCTGTAAATGCATGCGTGCACAAGTAAATGAAGTCCAAACAAGACAATAACATTGAAAAACAGAGCAGGAGCAATGGAACAAGAATTTTATGCATTTAAATGCATATGTTTACACATCTAAATGTGAGCATTTTACTGGCCATTCACAATGGAATGCCCCTTGGCGTCCTCATGTTCAATACACTGTATAGGACGTAATGACTCACAGGACCTTAGAGCACTGGAGCAGAGGGGGAGTGAAGCTGAAGGGACCAGTCTAGCAGCTAGCAAGCTCCAAGGTTCCAGTGATTATAAGTCTGTTATTTTAGTCCTTAGTCCGAGACGAAGATAAGCACTTAACCGTTGCAGTGAGGGGGTAGCCCCACTGCAAGGGTTAAGAGTATTTATGCCCTGAGTTCTTCTAATAATATGTTTCGCAGTGCACCCGACAGAGCCAAAACATTTTCTTTAACAAATCTGACTTCCCTTTACTGGTACAACTGAAGGACACTGGCTGCACTAAGCGTCATAGCAAATGTGAACACAATGTGAAATATGCCAATGTCTGCCCAGATATGGAGACTTTGGCACACATTTAAATCGTTGATAGGAGTAAACTTTGCCTTTGTTGTGGCTCAGGTCTCCTTGTCAACCCTAAAACAACTTCAGTATATGTTCATTAGAAATCACTGGCTTTTGCCATTGTACATTGTTCATTGTACATTGTTATAACATTTGGTTATATAGCTTATTATAGCTTATTAGTTTTTCCCCATTTATCTACTTATTTAGCACTATATAATCAGTATAATCCGTTTTCTTTTATGTAATAACCATGTTTTCCTTTACAAAATCTGGCCAGCTTGTCTTGTAACACTGAAAATCAAATGCTATATGGACACTACAAAATCCCTTCTTAGTCTGTTCTCTAATACGTCTAAAAAGTCAAATAGTGGGCACCGCACTCAGGTAAGAGAAAAAAACTGCCCGTGTGCACAAAAGACAAGTAGATACAAGCAATCCAGTAAAAGAGGCACTCACCGGTCCTATATTGCTTTAATACGAAAACTGCAAGTGCCTCTTCTACTGGACCACATACAGTATATACTGTATATATATATATAGAGAGAGAGACATTTACATTTAGGCCTCATTCACACGAGAAAAGGCCGGCACGTACAGCTCAATGCTGCGTGCACGGTCGTTTTGGGCAGCTAAGGGGAAGGACAGGTGCTGCGTGTGATTAGTACGCAGCCCCTGTCCTTCTCTATGGGAGTAAGCGGCCGTACGCCGCCCTGCGCTCAACTACCCTGATCGTGCGTGCGGGTGTCCATACTCGTACGCTGAGAGGATGGATTCTGTCTGCGTCCGAGCCGGGACATCCGCACCCATACGGACCTGCACTTGGGGTGAGCGTAGGGCATCGTACGGCCACTAATCCCATAGAGAAGGACAAGGGCTGCGTACTAATCACAAACAGCACCTGTCCTTCCCGGGAGCTGCCCGTTACGGCCGTGCACGCAGCACGGAGTGGTACGTGCTGGCCTTTTCTAGTGTGACTGAGGCGTTAACTTGATTGGCTTCTTTACCAAATCTTCTTTGGTAAATAAACTTTGGTAAAGTACCCTGGCAATGTTCACATATGTAGCACACACATTCTGAGTGCTGTGTACAATCTTGTTAGGCATGAGGTCCTGCTCTTTAGTTTCATGGCAGAACATGTATTATACTAGGTCCAACATATTCATGCTAAAACAATCATATAACAATATATTTAGGGAGTCGATCATTAAAGGTTCTCCAACCCAGTGAACCTAAAAAATACACCCAATTAGGTAAAACAAAATATCTTTTTCTGTGAATAATTTCCTCTTAACGGTCATCTCCACACAGAACACATACTGCCCAAGACTGTTTTTACAGAATTAGTTTTTTCTTTTGTTTAGAGGACAAATATAATCAAAAAATGACGTATGTTGATAACGGCATGTAGTTAATACATGTAATGATTTATTTTGAGAATTTCTTTATTTAGTTTACTTTATTTTTATTTTTCTACACAATTACACGCAGGCCAAGCTCTTCCAGTTAAAATTACAATTATTGGGGTTGGGACAAAGGATAATACTGCAAAAGGTTGCTTATAAAAGACACCTTTAATTCACAATGTTGTGTTATTGATTCACACCTTTCCATGCTTATTTTCATGTGCATGGTTTTAAAGAGCTGCGCAAACTGTTGGTGCTATATAAATCCTGTATAATAATAATAATAAAAATAATGTGTTTTTATGTGTATTATCAACAGTTATGCTTTACCATTACTAGTAATAGGCCCTATGTCAAACAGCAGACAATGCACGTCAACACATTACACAGATGTGAACTAGGACCATTTAAAGCAATGGTTAAACCCTGTGCGCATTAATTGACTTGAGTTAAAATGCATAAGTGTGAATAGGTCCTCAATCTTCTTAAATATAACCTGTTGCTGCAACTCTCATGGCAGTTTTATAGTTTGTCTCAATCACTGTTACTTTCACTTTTGCTGGACAGCTTGGCCTGCGTGTAAATATGGAGAAAATAAAAGTATGTGGCAATGAAAAGAAAAAACTATCTGAATATCATTATTCCATGTAGCCACCACATACTGTTCCTTTATATTTTTCATGAAAGTGCTCTTTTAAGTACAATTATTATTTGCTGGGAATCTATCACCTAGGTAAAAGTGCTTGGACATGCAGAAGTTCACTTACAGTGTCATGGAATAATGCTACAATACAAAATTCACTGTGGATCATTTATTTAGCTCAAATGCACTACAATGTAACAACGTCAACACCATACTCCTGTTTTTTACTTCCCTGCTACAACGTACATGACAATTGGCATGTCTGCATGCAGTGGGCCAGCTATATATGACTGACACAGTAGCTCTTATTTTGCGCCTTTTTTTATTCTCATGCAATTGATTAACCCATTTTTTTCCTTCAAATATGTCTTAAAATAAGAACTGCTCAAAGCTGTTAACTAATTAGTTGCTCAAAAGCCGCTTTTATTTAGACAGTCTAACATTTACGTAAATAGTAATATTATTCATCATTAACTAACGTATTAATGTGTTGTATTCTTAGTTTTTTGTATAACTCGGCTTTATAGTAATATACTGACACATTAGAATACATATACATGGCTGAATGAAACTAACTTGATCATATATGATCATATACGCATGTTTTTTTCCTGTCTGAAAAGTTAATGATCAGTAAAATGCTTGAGTTTAGATGCGTGTAGACACATTAAATTATGCAATTATATGCGTAAGCTCTCATTTTCATTTTATTCCTCCAGCTATTTTCAGTCCAAGAATGCTCTTTTTTGAATCTTGCCACCTTCTCTAGGTATTTGCTGCTCCCTGCTTTCCTAGTAATAAACATTTACATATTTGTAATGCATTTTTCTTCTTGTTTGAACTTCATTTACCTGCATTCACATGAATGCACACGTAAAATGTCTGCTCTTAGATGCAGATTTTTTTTTACAGATCTGAACACAGCACATGTTTAAGCACCTGTTTGCGTGTACCTATTGAAAACTTTACATCTGAATTCAGATCTGTACAAAAAAAAGGCCTATACTGATGTATACGCTGCATTTTTTTAATGGCTGTGGGCATGTAGCCTAAAGTTAAAAAACATGTTTAGGGTCTCAGGTGCAAGCGCATGTCACAAGTTCAGTGCATAGCCATGGCACTGGGCCGAACATTCTATGATGGAAAATTAAATTACTAATCAAGGAAAGATAATAGAGACTGGTTTGTGGTCTAGTAGTTATAGCCTGGCTTGTCTTACTTCTATAACATGTTAATATGGATTCATCAATCCACCTTATGTTTTGTTTTTTAAGTTTCTCCTTTGATATCATTGTCATGTAATTGTTTTTTAAATGTGAAACGTGTAACATTTTTACCTGTTACCCAGGTAAAAATTATACACATATGTTTCATATTTTTAAAAAATGACACAACAATGATATCAAAGGAGAAACTTAAAAAAAAAAAACATAAGGTGGATACATGAATCCATATTAAGTAGACAAGCCAGGCTATAACTAGTGGACTAAAGCACTGATCAATAGGTATGACTATATCAGGAGAATCACTCGTTACCCATAGGTTTGTCAGATCTCCATAGGGGGACACAGCTTAGCAATCCAAATTTTTATGAACCATGAATGTCATGATTCTATTATCATATACAAATATAAAGGGTGCCCCCAGAAATCAAATCACATCGTTTAAAGTAGGGTACACACAGAGTATTGGTGACCCTATTCCATCAGCAGAAGTGGATGATTAGATTGACTTTCTGAAGGAACTTATTGGATAATCGTCAGCTGATTGGGTGCAAGCACCATTCAGGTATGCCAACAGCATGGATGGAGGAATGTGTTTTTTTTTTCTTCGTTCAGCCTGCAGGTTGAACAAGGAAAATATAACTGTGTATACCCAACTTAAGTGCGATTAAGGGGATTCTTTACTGTTAGAACAGTAACATTTTGGAACTCCCTTCCCAAGGTAGTGGTATCAACTGAGAGTATAGACTCTTTCAATAAACTTTTAGATGCCTCTCCAGTGATTACTAGTGTCTCATAAACACACACACACACACACACACACATCTACTATACAAATTGTTTAACATTTAAGTAACATCAAAATATCTGATTTTTAAGAAATAATAGCTATGAATGTCAGGAATCCAAGTGACCTCCGCATGGTTTTATCTTGCACGCTTATCATAAACATGAGAGATTTACTTGAAACTATTTCTTTCAAGCGACATCCCAGATTCAATGGGGTTGATTTACTAAAGGTTGAGTAAAGACTGTGCAGGTAGCAAAGTGTATGTTCGCTATGAAAAATGAATGATAGTAAATAAGAACTCTATTACACACTGAAACAGCAGTGGAAACACGTTTCCATGTATCAATCAAACCTCTAAAAATAAAAGCAAACAATCCAGCAAACTATTCTTTACTGTGTCTTTCTAAAACACATCCAAACACAACTAAACCATTCCATGCACAAAGTTAGTGTACTAAGCAACATCAGGGGGATTAATGACTGTATAAAGCAATACTGTGCAGCACTTCATAGCAACCAATTACACTGAAATAATAATCTCACTTAGATTACTGAAAAATTAATTCTGATTGGTTAACAAATACATTTCCTAACCGACCCTGCAACTTATCTCATGCATTCATTAAAGTCATTTGTATTTGAATAAAGGATGAGATGGGATCCCAGAATCCACACTGGGGGGGGGAAACAAGCACACATTCTATATAGCTGAATTATTTTTCAAACATCAAGGCCTCATGCACACATACTTTATAAAACGTAATGTAAAGCATAACAAAGGCATATTGTTTTCAATTTCAATTGATAAAAAAAATGCAATGCACAACACCTTTTGTTTATGGATCTGGATGCAGGTATATTGCTTCCAATGAGGACATGCACACAACTGAGTAAACATGCGCTGCATTCAGATCCATAACACAAAAATCGAAAAATCTGTGCCTAAGTACATACATTTTTATGTGTGTAGGTGTGTGTATGCATGATACGCACAGACTCGCATAAGCGCGTAAATGAGGACCAAACAAGAAAATGACATTGATGACAAAGCAGGAGGAATGGAATCTATGCATTAAAGCCTATCACATGTGCCTGAAAAAAACACAACGTACTGCGTTTTTTGTTTATGGATTAGAATGCAGGTATATTGCGTCTAATTAGGATATGCACACAAGTGCGTAAACATGTTCTGTGTTCTGATCCATAACACAGAATAAAAACAAATTCTGCATACATTTTGTGCACATATGTTTTTAAACACATATTTATGCACATTTATGTGTAAGTGCACAAGCCTACATGCACATGGCCATAAGAAATGTACTGATCATATACGCATGTTTTTTTCTGCCCCAAAAATTCTTGGGTAGTGATAAGTAAGATGCCCGCATTCACACACGTAAACAAATATACGTTTAGATGCGCAAACTTCTCCTTCCATTCCTCCTGCTCTGTTTAAATTTGTATTTTCTTGTTTGGACTTCATTGACATACTTACAAGTAAGCGACTACATGCATAAACATGTGTTTACATGCGTAAAATGTATGTCCTCAGATGCAGATTTTTCAATTTGGTGTTACAGATTCGAATGCAGCGCATGTGTACACACCTGTGTGCATGTTTCCATTAAAAACAATATTCCAGCATTCAGATCCATAAACCAAAAACGCTTTGCATTGTATTTATTATTTATGGTCATGTGCATGAGAGCTAAATAAGGTCCAAACATGAACGAAACATTGAAAACGCAATGCATGCAATTAACGCATACATGTGTACATGTCTAAACACATCTAAATACAAGCATACTGATCATTACAATGGAGATGTGTGGCCTTAAAAAAAACATGTGTACATGATTAGTAGATTTCTTAGGACTGTTTGCATGTAGCCTATAGGTATACTGAGGAGAATTTATCAAAGCTGGAGCATACAAAATCTGGAGCAGTTGCCCATGGCAACCAATCAGCTTCTCTCTTCAGCTTGTCCAGTTAAGATTTGAAAATGAAAGAGAGAACCTGATTGGTTGCAGTGCACAACTGCTCAAGATTTTGTCTGCTCCAGTTTTGATAAATTCCCCCCACTGTATTTAATGAATTCTGACAATGGGGTAGATTTTAATAAAGGAGTAGAGGGGGTTCACTGTGAATGTGAGGTAGGGTACACACTGGTAGACAAATCTAGTCGGAATGTTCCATAATGCCATCAGGTGAACACAGCTTCACCTTATTTCCTAAGATTCACTATATGCAAAGTAAAAATTTGCTTTATTAACAGGGCTATTCACAAAAGGGTGAAGAGTTTGGAGAAGGCAGGAGAAGTGAACCATCTAGGACAAAATAGGTGATCTGGAAAGTGAGCTGAATTTGAGAATGTTTCCAGTTCAGCCCAGTTGTCCTAGATTGTTCACTTCTCCTCCCTTCTCCAAACAGATCACTCTTTTGTGAATAACCCTGTAAGTGAACAGCCTTTACTCCTTTAGTAAATCAACGCTAATGGGAGGAAACAGTTTGTAGTTATGAAAAGTTTAGGAGTATAGTGTATAAAGTAGAGCACAATGACTTTATGGAATAAATGAAACATCCCCACCGGTGGAATACTTCAGCCCAATAACAAAGAATTCTAGAACTGGGACAAGCAGGGTGAACTATAGCTGTGAGAATTCTAGAGATCTGCCATATTGCAGTCTAGGAGTGAGTGGTAATGTCTTTATTCAGGTAGTAGGTAATGTATGTGCTTTGGTAGCCAAGGGAGGGAAGTGACACCTGATTTAGTACAGTTCTAGAATGTCTATGTTACTGTGTGATATGCGGTCATACATAACAGATCTTGTCTCCTATATAACAGAACAAGCGGCAGCATTACCCAGTCACTCACCACTCTCTTCTGCTGTTTGATGAGTGGTCGGCTCAGGCCATTCATCTTGCTGTACAGGCCGCATGCATTGCACAGATAGTGGCCGGTGCCGTCCCGTCTCCATAGGGGGGTCTGCACTGAGCCGCAGTTCACACACTCTCTGCTCTCTGGGAGCTCCTCCAATACATCTGTAGGGAACAGACACAGCGATCAGCTCAGATCTCCTACACACGGGTAGATTTGTCATCGACCAATTCACTGATGTTATAGAATGCAAACCCTTTGTAAACCCCTTCGCTCCCCCCTGTCTAATAAATTACTCCTAATAAATGATGAAAAGGGGAGCTACGGTAGCTGTAGTAAAATCAATGTTGAACTTTTGAAATAGTAGGTAATATTCAGTGTAAGAATAATCCATAAAACAAAATCAGAAACAGGGGAAAAGTCAGATTGTAATATTCGGCTTCGGAAAGCTCCAGAATTGCTCTCGTTTTTATAATTGAGCTCAACTCTGAAGCAGGAGTAGACATACAACTTGTCACATTTCTTATTTCATCTTACAGTGTTCTTTCTGGCTCTTCAATCCTTCCACATGGACTGACGCAGAATAAATCGTATGCGTTAATAAGATTTCCATTTTAAATTGCGGATATAAATATTTATATGTGTCCCCCCAATCTGTGAAGACCGCAATCCGCGGTGCTATATATCCTACAGTATGTCTAGTCGGCTACAGTGACACCACAAGTCCCAGCATTTCACAATGCCCATCCGGTACACATTTACTGCATGTATTCTACAGCCTTGGACTTGACCCCGGTGATTGGCATGAAATACTTTTCTCAGATCTAGTCACAACTTCCAATAACTAGCCAAGTGTAAAGTGACATTACAGGGCCATGCCTGCACTGACCCACAACCATTCCCTTACCACTAATTACTAACCGACTTTCCATATTTAGAATCCTTGGCTTCTGTACCGGCTACTGCACAAGGCTGCGGCATTTCACAGAAATACACAATGCTCACTGCTTCCAATCACTAAAAACTGCAGCAGACAGAATCTAGAGGAGTTGCCCACAGCGACCAAAACAGAGAAGCTGATTGGTTGCCATAGGCGTCTGCTCCAGTTTTTAGGAATTCCCCCAGTATGTCAGCTCCTGCCTATAGGAATGGAATTGATAGCTCTTGTAATAAATACACATTACAATTAATAACCCTTAAATAAATGAGTTTAAAAAGCAGAATTAATACAGCACTAGGAACATCTGTAGTATAGGTTAATGGACAGATGGTAACTCTCTATAGATACTGTACTACAGGAAGCAGCAATACTCTGTAACAGAACCTGTAACAACAACTCACATATATACAAAAGAAAAAGTGCTCGAAATGGTAGTATATACTTCTGGAAAAATAATAATAATAATAAAAATAATAACATATGTCAGTATATACTTCTGGAATAATAATAATAATAATAATAATAATAATAATAATAACTAT